CTGTCTCAGATGACTATTCACGAGAGACTCAGTCATGAGTCGAACTCAAACCCTATCTAGGATCGAGTCGCGAATAAGGCTAAGAGCCGTGTATTGCACCTCTCACAACACACAAGAGTGACACCAACTCCTTCCGAGTGACCTCTTCAATGGCGTCCGAATCAGTTTCAAATGCCATCGTCTCCTCTCACAAGACACCCGATTGAAATTCCACAATGATGTATTGCCTCTTTGTCAGATGGGATCCGAAATTTGACCACCATGGGTTTCCCTTCGTGTCCATGTTGGACACTTTCTGCGGCCATGTGGGAGCTGACACGAGCCACTGTGACAGAGGCAACAGGCGAAGATCCAACGCCGAAAGATCCAAGCCGATCGGTCCTTGTGCCTCCAAGATACTCCTGCTCTCATAAATTTCGAATCGACAACAGCAAAAGGGGAAAGCGAAGCTCTACAAAAATCACTCCACGATCCGATTGGACCGACCATGGCCATCTGCCGTTCGGTCATTCTTGTTCTACTCACCGGTACTTGTGCATCGTTGTCCTTGCCGTCGCCGTGATCTTACAAGGATCCACGCAATCCTTCGGATTCCTTCGTCGGATTCCTTCTGCACTTCCTCAAGCTTCCGTCGGATTCCACCATGGCGGGCAAGCGCAAGAACAAGAAGAACGGGCACACTCATCGGAAGAAAGGGAAGAACCGGTCAAAGGATGAAAGGGCTGTGTGGGCCCGACAGCAGCAACAGCAAGCTGCCTTGCAGACTCCTCATGCAGTCACTCCTCATGTCAACACTGGTCCCTTCCACAATGAAGATATTGATGATGTGCTTCCTCCTACCGCCGCCTCTCTTCGCTCTGCTGCTCGCAAGCCACCACCCAAGCTGGATGATGAACGATTGGATGAACTCTTGGGTCCACCTTCGGATGATGAGCCTCCTTCCGACGATGATGATGCAGCAGCAGCAGACCTTCGTCTCACTCCTGAAGAGATGGAATCTTTCCTG